CGGGGCCCTAGGCCAAGGGGGTGATTGTCTGGGATGGGGGCTTGGTGTGAGGGGGCTGGGCCCCATCTGCGGCACACCCTGTTCACCCCCACCGACGGTGGGCTGGTTCCCCTCATACGGCCTTCCTCTGCCTCCCAGATGTGGTCTTCTTCATCTACCTCTACCAACGGTGGATCTACCGCGTCGACCCCACGCGGGTGAATGAATTTGGCATGAGTGGTGAGGCCCTGACAGCAGCCGCCCCCGCGGCCGAGGCCCCGACAGCAGCAGGAGCCCTCCCGTCCCCACCCAGCCCTGCCCCCGACACAACCACCACCGCCGCCAGGGAGGAGGCCCCGACGCCCCTGCCTGCCAAGCCCACCCAGGGGGCCAGCTCCACCCACGAACCCCAGGAAGCCCCTCCAAAGCCAGCAGAGGATAAGAAAAGGGATTAGCCGCTCCTGGTCCTCACTGCTCCGGCTCCTGGTGACCACCGTCCTCCCGCCGCCCCAGCCCCTCACCTCCCTTCCTCGTTGCCCTTTAACTGGACAGATCGGGCCAGGGCGGCAGGAGGCCCCCTTGGGCCAGGGCCCAGTGTGTGGTGTGGGGCTGGGGCGGGCCAGGGCACGTCGTTTGTGGAGGCACCGTCTGTCTGTCTGTCAGTCTGTCTGTCTGTCTGTCTGTCCCTCTGTGTTTCTAGCCATCTCGTCCCGCCAGCCCAGCACTACTGGGAATCACGGTGAAGCCGAGGTGGCCTGCCAAGGGGGTGGGCCAGGCGGGGGAGGGGCCGGGGCCCTCTGTGGGTTGCCCTCGGCCGTCTATCACCTTGTCCCTCGGTCCCCAACCATCTCCCTCCTCCCAGACCGCCGCCCTTTAACACAGTCTGGATTTAATAAATTCATATGGGTGTTTAACTTAAACACGACCACCCCGGTGCCTGCCTTCAGGGGTGTGTGGGTGACTCCCAGACTTGGGAGGGAAGCCTATAGGTGAGGCACACTGTTGGGGGCAGTGACCCTCGGGGCTAGTGCCCACTCACCTGTGCCTCTCCCCTTCCCAGCAGCCCACAGAGGATCTTCCCTCACAGGCCCTGGTTCACAGATGGGGCCACGCTTGCATTGATCTCACCTACTCTGAGGCTGGGTCTGCTGTGCCCCTGTGCAGGTCCTGACCTCTTGGGCAGGACAGGAGTGTGGCCTACCTCCCGCTGACCGCCCTACGTTCCCCTCATGCTTACTCAGCCAGAAATCCTGTGGCCCTGGACATGCTACCCAGCTCCTTTGGGCTTCCATACTGACTTCCCAAGGCAGTGCCAGGCGGAGCCCTTGAGAGGTCCTCCGTCATAGTGGCACCTGGCTGAGGGCCCCTGTAGCTGTTGGGGTGTCATCAGCATCCCCAGGGCTGCTTGCTCCCATTGCCCATGTGCTGGGCTGTTCACCCACCTTGGAGGTGAGTGGCCAGGCCTGCTGGCAGCCCTGAACTCCATGGAGTTGGGAGCATGCACCCCAGGTTTAAGTTCTTCCCAACGCTGCTAGGAGAGGGGCTTGGGCCTGAGGACCCCCTATTTTCACTCCAGCCCCTCTACCCTGCGGAGAGCCAGGCAGAGAACTGATGTAGTCCTCATTGGCCTGCAGGGGCCTCACTGCTTGGGCAGCTGACCCACCTCTGCTGCTGCTCCACTTCGTTCCTTGGCTCCTGGGGGCCCTCCCCTTAGAGGAAGCTCAGACTCTCCACTGGGGTTTTGTGCTGGACTTCTATGCTTGAGGGGGTGTGGGCTCTCAGACCATCCCTGTTCTTTCCACACCACTGACTCCCCTCCACAGCACAGCACAGGGCCCCCAGTGACTTAGGAGTCATCCCTTCAGTTCCGCTGTGACCTTCTGGTCCAGACTGCCCCCTGGGGTGCCCACTCAGCCTCTTCCCTAATCTCCTGCCCAGTCCTGCCCCTCCCATTCATCCTCTATCCAGCCTCCAGAGGGGACTTCCTAGCACACAAACCTGACCCTGGCTGTCCCCTGTTTAGAACCTCTATGACTCCCCAGTGTCCTGGGGAGAAGAGCCCAGATTCCTAACTGGTGAGGAAGATCTGGAGGGAGGGGGCTTGTAACCCAACAGCCTCATCTCCCTCCTTACCTCGGTTTCTCTTATTTTCTGGCTCTGGACTCCCCTTCCCTTATCTGGGACCCATTCCAGGCACACAGCATATTTATACATCCTCCAGATTGCAGTGCCAGCATCTCCAGGAAGCCCTCCATGACTTCCCTCTCTGCTGCTCCCCTCCCCATCTCCCAGGACTCCTGGACCCTATTCTGGGTCATCCAGTCTAGGGACAGGTTGTTCTTTCCCACAGGACTGAGTCCGGTGAGAACAGAGCCAGGGTCTCGGTCAAGCCATATCCTCGACACGAGACACTCCAGGAGAGATTACTGAGTGCAGGTTTGCACAGTTCTGACTTTGACAGGTGCCCATGTCCAGAAGTCTGGCCCTTGTGGGACCCACACTCAGACATAGGTTGCGACACAGTCTGTTAACCAGTGTTCTCTGAGCCGCTGCCCCCTGTGGCCCTGAGCCTGGGCATTCTATATGCACAGCAGGGGCCAAGACAGGCCAGTCCTCCCCTCTTGGGGCTGAGCCCAGCAGAAACCCTCTGCTCCTTTGTCTCACCCAACAAACCTTGGGAGACCCGACATATGCAAGAGGCAGAGATCAGGTTGGCTCCTGCTGTGATGAATACTCCTTATCACCAACCAACTTCTAGTCTAAGTGTTGAATATGACTCACCTTATCCATTAAATTTAGTACCGCCATCCCCTCACCTTACTGGCTCTCACTGTCCACAGCCTTACTGCTACCTCATCTGTCTACTCTAGCCACCTTGCTCTGTCCCACAGCGCATACTCCTACCTCAGGACCTTGCATTTGCTGTTCCCTGTGCCTCAGACACTCCCTTAGATGTTCACAAGGATTCATTACCTTTTCGGCTTTCCACTTGTATCATCTTAGATTGTCCTTGAACTTCCTAACCCAAGTAGAACCCTCCAAACTCAGTCCATTAATCCTGCTTTATTCCCCTGTAATACCACCACCACCTTCACCAGACATGCATTTTTTTTCTCCCCCATCTGTCTCCCTCCCCTGGATTTCAACTCCTTGGTGGCAAGAGCTTTTCTCATGTTCCTGGCTATTATGTCCCTAGCTTTTGGGGTAGTGCCTGACACTGTTACCCTGTACATAATAAGTCAAATGCTAGGAGTAGTATGAGAAAACTGAGGCTCAGAATTTAAGATACCTGTCCAAGGTCAAATAACTTAGAACAGTGCCTAATGCAGGTAAGAGCTATATATAAGGGTCAGTGATTATTAGTATCTCTTAATTCACACAGCTATCCTCTTAGACCCTTTTCACAGATGAGGAAATCGAGACTCAACAGAGGTAAAGGCAGGTTTTGAGGCTGCACAGCTGGTAAGTGGGTGATCTAGGACTTGAACATGGGCAGTCTGATTCTTTAGACTTTAGATGCCCTCTTTGCAGAAGTGTACAGACTACTCCTGGCAGGCCCAATCCAGGTTTTTCCATAATTTGCATATTTTCAAGTTGTTGAAAAAGTCAAGAAGATTTAGTCTCGCATGAAATTATATGAATGCAAATGTCAGCATGTGTCATGTTTCATTGGAATGCAGCCATGTACTGCGTGCTGTCTTTGGCTGCTCTGTGCTCTTGCCTTCAAGGCCTGGAGTCTGACATTTTTGTTATCTGGCCCTTTGCAGAAAAAGTGTTGTGTGTCTTGCTATCTGGCAGTCGTTTTCCAACTTGACCAACACTTGCCTTATGTGAAGAGCACTGGCCATACTTTGAAAACTGCTGCTGGACCCTGTTCTGCCTCCTGTGAATGAGCACCAGGCCTGGCTTGGTGAACACTGTGCCTTACTGCCCAGGGCAGGCTCTGGCACACAGCAGGTGCTCCTTCCTGTGTGTGGAATGAATGGTGAGTCTGTGGGCTATGGAGAGAAGAGGTGGACCAGGCAGGTTTTATACAGGAGACCAAACCATGCGTCTGTGGTCCCCAGGTACCTGGCCTCCGAGTTGGAACCTAATGGTCAGCTAGTCACTCTTAGGAACAGGGAAGACTTAGGTATGTGACCTAGCCAATTAATGCCCCTCTTTGAGTCTCAGACTCCAACAGCCCTCTTTCTAGCACATGCCTCTGGTGCTGGGGGCAAGTGTGAGCCCCTCCCCCCCCCCACTATGCCCTTAGCTTAGGTGTCCAGTCCCCTGCCCAGTAAGCACCAGGCTATTCCCTTACCATTCCCAAACTTATTGTATCTGCCAGTGGAAACACCTCTGAACTATTAGGAAACTTGAGGGTACTACGGGATGAAACAAACATCTATCCATTCATTCAATAAACAATTGTGGAACACCAACTGTTCCAGGCACTGTCCTAGGCTCTGGGAATACAGCAAGGAACAGACAGACATCCTAGAGCTGATAGTCCAGCTTTAGCATTTAAGTCTCTTCACTTGAAATTTAGGCCAAGTGAGACCACGGAAATCTCGTAAAGATTATGTTTATCAATAATGGCAGTCCCTTGATTCCCGGACCTCCTCTCCAGGCAGAGCAACAGCAGGTTCTAGTCCCGCTGGCACACGGGGTGCCTGGGGGCTCGTCGACCCCCTTGCTTTGTGTGACCCGAAACAGGCCTCAGTCGTATTGGTCAGAGTAAGGGGCAGCGGCGGTCGCTCGGCCCCTCCCTTGCGCTCGGCCCGCTCTTCCCGGTCGGCCCCGCCCCCTCCACCACGTGACGCGTGGGGGTTTTCCCGTTCACTTTGCGCGACGTCACGGTGGGTTGTGGGCCAATGGGCGCACAGGCCGGCAGCGCCGGGGAATTCCGCCGCCCCGCCCCCGC